GAGTCTCTATTCACAAAGGGGAAATACTATCAGACCAATGTACATATACATATATAAAATACGAAAAAGTTTTTAAAAAAGCAATGTATTTTGCTTCATTTTTTGGACGGGGATACTTATTTTCTATAATATCGTAAGATCAAAATACATCAATATTCAAAATATATCAGTGTATCAAAAGGGAAGAGAAGCATTGGCTCCTGGTATCCTCCTGCATGATGGCTTACAGGAAGATTCCCGGTGAACTTATCAATCATGTTACTTTTAAAAAGAGAAAAAAGTCCTTCAAGGAGGAGAGACAGGGTTCAACAGATGCATAACCTTTCTACAGAAAGCTGCCTTGTTTCCCCAAGAAAGACCTTAATGCTCAGCTCTAAGCAGCCTTAAAAAAAAAAAAAGAAAGAAAGAAAGAAAGAAAGAAAGAAAGAAAGAAAGAAAGAAAGAAAGAAAGAAAGAAAGAAAGAAAGAAATGGAGTAGCCAGGCTGGAATGAGGCGCAGAGGAAGGAACACAATGGTTTTTGCTCTTAATTACCTGCAAACATATGCTAACACTTGTTTCCTTTTTAACTTTTTTTCCTTTTTTTTTCTCCTTTTGATACAGTGATGACACTTATCTCTGATAGCTGTCAAGACATTACGTCGGAGCTCTTTGTTGTTGTTTTAAATTTTCTAGCAACTGAGAACTAAATGTCAATATATACACCTGCACACACACACACACACACACACACACACACACACACACACACACACGCACACAACTTCACTGCTATGAGTCCAAACAGCTAGGCTTTACATCCAGCTCAGCTGGTGTTACATGAGGGTGTGACCTATGGAAATGCACCCAAGGATGACTGCCAAACTAAGCTGCAGAAGACAACTCAGAGAGCCAGGGAATCCCATAATAAGCTATCTTATACAAATCACATTGGAGGGCAGCTTGACAAGAACACTGACATCTCTCCATCTTCATACCAATATTCCTCTACTTCTAAAATGCTGGGGGGGGGTTGTTTTTGGGGGAGTCACTAAAACATGGGTCAACATTGGACACGGCAGACACCATCACAGACAAGAGTTGGCCAACCAACCCTCAAGATAATACCGCCCCCCCCCCCCCACTCTGAGAATTTCGTCTTCCTTCAGTGGCTCGAGAGGTCAACTGGTTTCTTCCAGCCTCAATTTTCACATGTGAGAAATAGAACTCGGAATACACGTCCTGCCTCACTGTGTTCTAAAAACGGAAACTAGCTATGAAAAGAAGGAATGTAAAGCGCTATGAAAAGAATAAACCAGATTCCCTGACCTGATTATTGGTGAGAGCCCTAAAACTAGAATTACTACTTCTTCCGATTCCATACATGCCACCTGGTCATCAAGCTGATCAGCAGTAGTGACTGCATGGCTGAGCTTTAAAGTAATAGAAACAAAGTTTAAGCCACGCTGTATTTCCATATTATTTAAGGTATAACCTGCTCCGAAAATGCATCTATTGGCCTAAAAGTAGATGTAAGAAAAAAAAAATATGAATTTTGAGCCTCAAAAATTGTTCAAAGACTAATGAGATGGTTCAGGGGGCAAAAAAGCTTGCTGCCAAGGCTGGTGGCCTGAGATCGATAGCCACGATCCACACAATGGAAGGGAAGAATTGACTCCAACCCACTCTTCTATGGCCTTGCAATGCACGCCATGGCATGTGCACATACACACACATAAATTAATTAGTAGCTATATTTTTTAATGAAATGTTAAAAACAGACAGTCGTAAGTATAGAATAGTTTGAAACTGATACTCTGGCAAGGACACAAGAATTAGGAGCAAGCTAACCCAGAAACAGACTGAATCACAAGGTAAGTTTCATCTCACGGGCCAAAACACAATACAGATTATTTTTATATCATTCTGTCTGAGTTGTCTATTTCAGATTCTTAACTTCCAGATTCTATTTCTAAAGCCACTTAACACTGTGTATTTCCAGTAGCCATCAAGGCACATACTGTCATCCTTGACACCGAAGATGGTCAGCAAACTCAACATGGACACTAATGATCTCAGGCAACAATGTCCACACTCGTATCAAAGAGATCTTTATTCTAGAAGAAAAAGTCTAACGTGTTCTGCGAAAAATCACTCTAAAACACAGGAAGGGATCATTATAAGACGTCTGGATCACTAATATCTGTTACTTCCTTGAAGGTTATCTTATTCGTGATTTTAAAACCCTGAACTGTCAGGCATTATAACATTTCTCCTTCGCTCCCAAGTCGTCCCTGCTCTAATCCTGTACTGTCAAATAACGATGGCTGCTGTCATTGTTTTTATGCCATAGCTGACACCCCGGTGTACAGATGCCCTTCATCTTAGAACAGTCACTGAGGCCACTAAACTGATGATCAGTATCTTACTTATAATGACACTGACCCCTTTCCTGAAGGCAGAGTAAATGGGCTATCATACCTTACTGGTGCTATGGGGCAGGATGCTAGTTTATGAAAGATCATGGATTGGTTTTTTTTTTTCTTCTTCTTCTTTATGCTACTTAAATAGAATCCTTCCCCCCCCCCACCCCGTCACACATACAATCCCTCTTTTCCACTTACTAGACACTATCTTATCTTATCAGAAAAGTTTGCACACTGACTTCTAGTTTTAATACTTCCAGTCCAAACTTTAATTCCATGTTTGGAAGAAGTGGACTTGGACGAAATATATTTGAAGATATCTTTTAATGCGGAGAACATGTTATTTTCATTTATCAAAGTCAATGGCGTGTGTCAACGGAGAAAGAAACAAGTGATCTCACATAGGAGTGAATTTTCAGGCACCACATACAAAAATTTATTCCAAGTTTCAAACATCCCAGTGACCGATTCTAGGTGTCTGTTCTAATTAACAGACAAGAGTCTTTCTCCAAGTCTGTTTGCTTTGGCAGTCTACAATGCTGATATTCTCCTGGATCTCACAGAGAGGAAAAATGGGTATCTTCTCCATCTAACACCTAAGTGGGTAACCTAGATACTGTAAATAGAGGCTACATAAAGGATGCAACAGACAGCTCTGAAGTGAGAGCCAAAATATTTAACCAGCAACTCTAAAAACACGGAGAGCTTAGCCAAAAACTGTATTAACATGGAATTGCCATAGGCTAATAAATTAAAAAAAAAAAAAAAAACCACAAAATTACCAAACTGACGTTTACTGTTGCTGGGTGAGAAAAGCTCAAAGTTTGGAAAAAAATGCAATTCTTATTTGTCCAAATTAATCATTTCCTTACTTTGCAATGTTTATTTTTTAAAAAGAAGGGAAATGCCTTTTTGAATGAAGCAGTCAGAAAAGCAGACCACGAAGGGTCAACTAAGCAAATATTTCTTACTAATTTTCTGGTTGTGACCAGGATGACAGGTTAGTCTGATCAACAGCTACTTTCTATTTTACATACTCAATGTTTTTAACAATAGCTAAAGATCAACTAGAATACAATAGAAACTCCTTGTAAATCTAATTTAACCTACGAGAGATTTTTATGAAAAAGTTGTTTCTAACAAATAAAAACATTTTCTACCAAGGTACTAATAACATTAAATATTAAAGTGCAAGATCTCTATATACTGTTACAGTAATATAACTTTTCTCAAATCAATAAGCATAAAAAAAAGTGCTACAAGATCCATCAAAAGAGAAGTAACAATATAATTCAGCATGAATCACTCAACAACATCATTACTTTTTCCTTTCTACATCATAGAGGGATTTCAAAGCCCGCCTCAAGAATGAAATTTTTTTGAATAAGTTTTCCTCATTCATAAAAGAAAGAAAACTTTTAAATGAAATAAAGTCAAAGAGTTCAATCACAATTTCAAGTCAATAGCCAAAATCATTTGAAGGTAATGAAGTGAAAAATGTATTTAAGGGTAATTGATAAACCTTTGCTTAGAATTCAGAGGTCTTCACCAATTATAAAGTTTACAGCTTTCAAGTAACTTAAGTCAGCATAGAAGAGAGAACGAGAAAGGAGAACTTCAGATAACCAGAATCGACTTAATATTCTTATAATTAACTAGGTTATTTGATTATTAAATCTCCAAAAAGGAAAAGATAGTCTCCTTCACCTATCACCCAAGCAGAAAAGTTGTAAATTAAACTAAACTTAATATAAGCCATGCCCTTTCTACTTAAGACCATAATATATACCCAAACATCTCGAGTTGTTCTGAGTAGGAGGGGTAGACCATTTGCACTTAATTAACTAATCTGATAAGACATTTTAATTAAGAGGACCAACTACAATCTTAACAAATAAAAGCATCAAACACTCACAGCAGGCCAATTGCCTTTTTGGTACCCCTCAACAACGTATATATTACATTCCATATCAGAAACACCAAAAGAGCCAAAAACTGCCATGCCTGCAAGTCCAAAACATGCTTCCAAATAGTCTTACTTCTTGTCTGGACAATCTAAAACAAACTGCTTTCGTCTTTGTTAAAGAAATGGATGTGAATGAGTGCCACAAATTGTCAATGACATCTCACTTCTGACTCTTTTACACTTTCACACACTGCCTCCTCTGTTTTGAAAAAGCAAGCAATACTTCAATCCTACCACTGATGTTTTAGCTTCATACCAAGGCAACAAAATTTCTACTTTTTTTTTTTTAATAACTACGAAGAAGCCTTTGGAAACGACACATTTCCACGATGTTTTATCAAGCAACAACAAATCTAGGTGTGAACCTTCAAGTCGAAACAATAGTCAGCAAATCCTAACACTTCTTACCTGGCACAGGTAAGCACCAGCTCGCAAATGCCACCTTGGGATAGTTCAGACTAGTAAGTAGGCTCATGGTTTATGAACGGAAATAAATCTGGGTTGCTCTTCCCTCAGCAAAAGCTACAGCAGTCGCTACACCACAGAGTGAGTAGACCCCACAGACCTGACAAGTTCAAATCTCTCTCACTTGAGAATTAAAAAAAAAAAAAACATAAAATGAAGACTTACTGCTTGTCATGTGACTTGGGGAGGCGTGCTGTCCATTGGGTGTGCTTGAGGTGAGGTCAATGGCCATACTGGCGTGCTCCCCCTTCGGGTGAAAGCTCATTGTCACCTGCTTTTAAAAAATAAAATCTTTTAGTTTCTGTTCTTCGTCATAAAACATCTAATTACTCGGACTGCCTCACATTCAAAGGGCATGCAGAAACTGAATGCTTAAGAAACATGCTTTACTTTTAGGAGAAACTATAAAGAAATAAAACACATAGTAAATGAATGAAACAAAAAAAAAAACTAGCCCATAGTAAAAAAAAAAAATGAACAAACTTTATTATCATAAAACACTCTTACAGGTCAATGGGAATAGGAAGCATTTGAGATCCAAAATAGTTCTAGTGAAAACAGTATGTTTTTTTTAATAATCTAATTTAATTCTTCAATATAGAGTACTTAAAGTGAACATTTCCTAAAATGTTAGCTGGATGGCTCAAACAGAGCTTGCTTTAAAAAAAAAGCAAAAACAAAAGTCAACTTAAGAAGCTAATTCTTTCATACTATGTGTCTGGAAAATTAGGTCACCTAGCAGTAAATCTTTAGTACACATCACACTATCTGTGACCGGATGTATTCTAAATTCAAACTAAGTGGGGAAAACAATCAACTAGAAAACTCAAGATCTGTAAGCTACAAAGACTAAATAATGCCCTTTATCAAATGAGTATGTTTCTATGTCCTCCTTCTTATATCTTGCTTCTGTTAATCCTTCCTCATGTTCATTTAAAAGGTAAAATGGTGACTGGCAAATAAAACCACAGAGTCCTAAAAACTCAAGGCTCAGGAATTCACATGCAGGTAGCCGGGAAGCTAACTTTATTCCCACCCCCCACCCCCCCACCCCGCAAATGAATGGGAATGAGTACTCACATGTTAAGTAGCCATCAATAGCCTCTGTTTCCATAGTCAAAGTGCAGTGCTGTAAAAAAAAAGATTACCCACCTTAACCCAAGGATGCCTCCAGGTATCTGCCAGGAAATTCTTAACTTATTGGAAGCCCTAAGCAGCTAGTCCATGTTGCTCCTGCAACCTGTGCCCAAGAAACATGCTACAGTGTACTGTGTGTGCTCATTTGCCAGTCACTGAACTCTCTGCAAATGATCTGATCCCTGCTGGAGATAGGATAGGGAAGATAAGTGTGCTGTGTGAGATGGGCTGTAGCAAGCAAAGAAGGACGCTCTTACTCAAAAGTTACCTGTTTTATCAGAAAAAAAAAGAAAGAAAGAAAGAAAGAAAATGCAGAGGGGGTATACCTCGAATTCGCCAACTTCTAACTGCCATCTAAGTATTTGACCATTCGCTCCTTCCCACAATCACACTATCGTTTGAGGACTTCCCTAGTATACAGACAGCTCTATTCACAATTGTTGCGAGTTGGTTCATCATGTTCTAATAGGGAGGGGAGAGCAAACAAACTTTAAGAAAACAAAACAAAACAAAAATACTGAGTGCTAAACTGCATCTTGAAGACTTTGGCAGCAGTTGGCCAACTCTCCGGCTTGTATTGACATTTTAGCCTACCCCAAATTCTGTGTAAGCACCTGTTAAACGTACCCCTTAATTTCCTGCCAGACTATGGCTGGAGACAAAATGCCAAGCCTACTTAAGACATTCGGATTTTCCAACATTTCAGAAACTTTCTGCCTGTGCACGAGGGGATCATTTTCGACCCAAGTACCAGGGAATGGTTTTCATGCACCAATAACACACAACAGAACTTAATCCCCAGAAACAAAAGTAAATTGCAAGGGACGACACCCCCTAGCTTTGATTCCATAATGAAAAGATCGATAATCTAACTGTATTCTTTTGAGGGGAAAAGTTAAAGAATTGACAAGAGCTGAAAAGATTTTTTTACTTATTTTTTTTTTCCTTTGGCCCTGGTCCTTTTTGCCTTTAGTTTCAAAACTCTCACAGCAGCAGCAGCTAAATTATTCACAATGAGCCATTTCTGTATTGATCGCCAAGTATATTTAGCCCTGGCTCCTGGAATTTCTCCATTACTTACTGGAAAACAGGCAGCTTTCACTTCTTGTCTCCAAAACCACTTCCCTTCTCCCTCCCCCCCCCCCCCCCACTTCACCACCAGCCTCCCTCCCCCCCCACCCCCCAAAAAACTTTTCTTTCTTTCTTTATGGAATAATCAGATCAAATTCTCACCTCAGCAAACTACATAGCAGTTAAATCCCGACCTGCTCTACTCTTATCAAATTCTTTCAATTATGATTACATAAGGCTTTAAAGAAAGGGATCCGTAAAGTTTAAAAAGGGGAGCAGTTTCTACGGAGATCTTACAGATGAGTCTATCTCTTTAAAAATGTACACATTTAACACACATACTGAAAAGAAGCGTCAGTTAGAAGCAAAAGAAGTCTGCCCCATCAGTGAACTGGTTACTAAACCCTCAGAGAAGGAAAAGAAAGAAAAAGATCAAGAGAAACGAAATGTACATACAAAAGAAATTGTCCTTTGATTAAAAAACATTCATCACCATTTCCAGCTCTGTCGGGAGATCCCAGCTTCTTCTAACCCCTCCAAGAGGAAGGTGACAATGTCGGGCTGAAGAGAAACGGAGAAAGAAAGAAAGAAGTTTTTTGTGTCCCCCCCCCCTTCCCCTCCCTGGCCCCCTCCAGGCCAAGCCCCCTGCAGAGTTCAAGGCGAGGAGGAGGGAAGCACTTTACAGGTGGGTCATTCCAAGCCTGAATCCAGCAAACAGATCGGCTGATAAACAAAACCAAGAAATGAGAGAGAAGGGAACACTCCCCCCCAACCTCCTCCTCCTCCTTCTCCTCCTCCTCCTCCTCTCTTCGTCCTCCTCCTCCCCCCGCCCCCGCCCCCTCGTCCCTTTGGGAGGGTCTAGTAGGAAAAGTCACTCAGGAATGGCACCACGTACTTTCAGGAAAGAGGAAAAAAAAGAGAGAGAGAGAGGGAGGGAGAGAGGGAGAGAGAGAGAGAGGTCAGTCAGTGCTACAGCAATGCGATTAACAAGAAGAGAAAAAACTTGATCCACCGGTTCCTTAAGAATCGACCAAAAGCTAAGACGAGAAAACTGAAAGAAAAAAAGGGGAGGGGGGGGAAAACGAGGGGAGGGACAGTCAGGCAGAACCCAGCAAGGAACCTAGGCCAACTTCACAGGACTGTTTTGTGGCCTCTGGCAAAACAGAAAAAAAAGAAAAGAAAAGAAAAAGAAATTAAATCTTCATTCCATCTCTCTCGCCCATACCAGAACCTGTCAAAGCGATTTAACTGCTGCTTTAATACATGTGTCACATTAGAGTGGTTTTGTTGTTGTTGTTGTTATTTTTGTTTGTTTTGTTGTTTCCAATCTCAACAGGATAACACCTTGTATCTAGACAGCTGCAATTTACGCCAGGCTATCCAATCTTTCTTCTTGGGAATTCAAGTTAAAAACAAAGCAAAAAAAACAAGTCCAAATCCATGACAGCTATAGAGATGAGAACTGATTAATCCATTAACATCCCAGAAGCAGATTACAAGGAGGGGGGCCATACATTAAGGACATCATCTTCAACCAGATTCCCTGAGCGTCCTTTACCAGAAATCGTTACCTCCCCCCTCATCAGAGCCACGACCCGTCCCTCCCCAAAGAAAAGCGCCTATATTATTATTATCCCTGGTTAACAGCAACAAGTCATTCGATTCACCACCCACACGGCCAAACAAGATCCCATATAATTACACTTAACTTTGAAAACACTCCCCCCCCCACTTTGCAAACCATACACGAATTGATATATCATCTATGAATCAGAAGACAAATAAAACAAGAGCTTGTTCTTCCCCACGCAAAAAAAAAAAAAAAAAAAAAAAAAGGAAAAAAAAAAAAAGCCAAGCGGAGATTTTACCTCAGCCGTGCATGCAGTAAAATAATCCCATCACCCTTTTGTTTGTGTTTACTGTTAGTGTGTCCTCTCCCTCTCTCTCTTTTCTCTCCTTGTGCCTAACGTGTGTTTGTGCACTGCAGTGGGTGGTGGAAACTAAGGCAGTGGAATTCTGTAGCTAAGGGTAATCCTGTTTTTACTTCCTCCATCTTCAGCGAGGGCAGGGTTAGCCCGGGACAGCTGGTCAAAACCCCCGAGAAACCGATCCGGCGGAGCCCGAGCACATCTCCCTCCCCGCCGGCCCCGGGCTCGCGCAGACGCCCGCGGGCGGAGGGCAGGCGGCGGCGGCGGCGGCGGCGGGGACGGGAGACGGGGACGGGGACGGGGACGCGCGGGCTGGCGGGGGCGCGCGTGCACGGACTGGGGTTGGAGTTGGGGGCTGGGGGGGGGGGGGCGGGGGGGGGGGGGGGGGGGGGGGGGGGGGGGGGGGGGGGAAGGTTGCGTGTGCGAGCGCCCGGGTCGGTGAAAGCCGGCGAGCCGGCGAGCGAGCGAGCGAACCGAGCGGGCGCGGCGCGCGCGCGCGCGGGCGGGCGGGCGGGCGGGAGGGGCGGGGGCGCGTGTCTGCGCGCTCGGCCGCTCGCTCGCTCGCTCGCTGGCTCGCTCGGCGCGCTCGGCAATCGATTACAGGACAAGTGCCGCGCGGCTCCGCGCCGCCTCCTCTCCTCCTCCTCCTCCTCCTCCTCCTCCTTCCTTCTCCTCCGCGCCCCGCGCGCCCCCCGCGCCGGCTCCGCCCCGCTCTCCCGCTCCCCGGCGCCCCGCGCGCGCGCGCGCGCGCCCCGGGCTCACCTTCCTTCCGCTCGCCGCGCGGCAGGGGACGATCGCCGCTTCCCCCGAGCTTGTGTCGGCCGCTGGAAGTTTTCGCTTCGGCCCGCCACCTCCCCGACGCTGGCTTCCCCCCCCCCCCCCCCGCCCCACCCCACTCCCCACCACCCCACCCCGGCACCCGGGAAGACCCGGGACCTCTGAGCCCCGGCGGCGGAGGGGCCCTGGCGAGTGCGCTGGGAGACACGGAGAGCGATTTGTCCGCCCATTGTGAAAGTGCTTTCCAGTGCAAGTTTAAAATTAGAGTGTTTACTTGCCGTTTATATCCAACCCCCCGTCCCGGCGTGTGCCACATCCACCCCCTGAGTCAAAGGAACCGTGAGGGTCCAAAAAGTTGTGTAGCCTGGGAGTGTTGCCTAGCCTGATTGTCAATCACGACGTTGTTTGGGTGGGGGCGGGGAGGGGGGGGGGAGAAGGGTGGATGGGAAAGTATTGGAATCGTCCTGAGAAAAACAAATGCATGTTCGGTCTACAAATAGCAGCATTTACTATCTTTCTTGGACCACAGAAAAGGGAATAGAGACTTCTATAATTAAAGGGAAAAGAAAATGAAAGGAGCTGAAAATACTGAACTGTGTAGCCTGGGTGGGTTAAGTTTGAAAACACACGAAATTATCAGGACTGCCAAACAGCACTTCTGAGACAAACCGTATCGCAAATTGTGTAGAAAATCAATGCTGAAAGAGGAGCAGGCGCTGTGCCCTCCCACTCCTTTAAAGAAATCCCAGAAATAGTTGCTGAGAGAGTTTTCTCTCCCCCCCCCCCCCCCGCCCCTTTCCGCTGAAGCAGGCGGTATGACACATTGAAAAATAAAATCAACTTTCATCTGAAGCACCACTCTGCCCCTGTGTTTGGATTTCGGTGTGAGCAAAGGATTTCATTCACAGTGGTACACAACGGATTACCCTAACAGCGTCTAATGTGTTTATTTTTACTTTTTTAAAAGCTTGTTCTGTGCATTGCAGTTATTAAGCAATTGTACTTGTAGGCTCAGTTCATTTTTTCTTTTTTTTTTTTTTTTAGTTATGGCAAATGATGGTATTAAGATACACCATTTCATCTGGGGAGAAATCACTTGTTCTTGTGCTCAGGTTTTCAAATTTGATGACTTTTTTTTTTAAGTTGCAGTATCTGTGACATTGTTAAAATTAAATTTGTAACCTATTTGTCAACTATCTGAATGAAATGTTTTTTTGTTTTTTGTTTTTGTTTTTGTTTTTCTCCTAAAGTAAGATTTGGAAAGGCCAAACTAAAGAGACTCAAGGAGTGATTCTAATCAATTCAATAGGCAGCAAATTCAGAAACCTGGAATGTGTGACTACACTATCTAAAGGGTGACATACTATAAATAAAGATTTATATGTATGTATGTGTGTGTATATATATATATATGTGTGTATGTATGTATGTATCCTGAAAGACATCCTCTAAACATTCCTTCTCTTCTGAAAAGTAGGTTTCAATGTTCTACGTATCTGCACAGTCATAGTGGTCCTTCGAAAAGATGAAAACATTCAGTACTAAAAGGCAACGTCTTCATAGTGAA